TCATCAAAGTCTTTTAGATCTTTTTAGTCTAATAGACTCCATAAAATTGCCACATTTTTTTCGACACAAGCCAAAAAATTTGAATAATGAACTTGTTAAGTGGAAAGCTCAAGAGCACAAGTATTTTCTATTGTTTTATGGGCCATTTGTTTTTTACAAACTTGGTAATGCTGAAATTTGTTCTCTTTATTTAATGCTTTCAACATCTATTTATACATTATCCAATGAAATTGTTTCATCAAATGATATTGATGCTTGTCAGCAACTAGTTTATTTATTTCAAAAGGCATTATGCTCCTATTTCGGTGAAGGTATTCGCACATTCACTTTTCATGCATTAGCGCATCTCTCTGACCAGGTAAAAAATTTTGGACCTCTTACAGCAACGTCTGCTATGGTGTTTGAAAATGTAAATCGCCAACTAAAGAGGGCTGTTACAGGAACTAAAGGCCATGGAAGGCAAATGGCTGAAAAATTTATTAGATTTCAGACGGAAGACCACTTAAATACTTTTTCTTTGAATCCTTTTGTGTTAGGTGCAGCATAAAATATATCAGATAAGTTGCGGAATATGGATTTGAATGATTTAAATGTTGACCTAAATCTTTATCAGTTTTATAACCGTTTTAGAGTTGCTGATAGAACTTTTCATGCTTATCATTATGGTAAAAAATTAAAATCAGCTTCATATTATGCATATTTAATAGAATTTAATGTGATTGTGAAAATTTTGTTTATTGCACATAACCAAAGACAAATCTTGTGTATATGTCGATTGTATAAAAATGTAAGTAAGTTTTATCGTCATATGGATTCTTTTAATATTCCTATCAAAATCAAGCATGTTTTGTCAAAAATATCTCCTTATTTATTGTTGAAAAAGTGTGGATTAGCTGTTTTTGATTCAAGCAAATTTACTCACTACGCTCTTGTAAAAAAAACAAAGAAATTTTATTATAGTGTTGTTATTCAAAATAATTATGAACATGATTAGGTTTTATTTCTATTTTTTAAAGTTTGAAATTGTATTATGTTTTTTTGTATTATTATATATTTACTTTACAATATTTTTTTTATTAGAAGTTGTTATTTAGGATTCTGTTTGCAATCAATTAATTAATGAAACATCAAACTTAATTCATAATGGCGACAAGAGTTTGTTGTTTACAATGATCTAAAACAGATTTCTTTTTGTACCATCTTGACTTTGTGTAGTGTTTCTTTTAAGAATTAAATAAATTTGTTAAGAGAAAAGAAATCATATCCACCTGTTATCGCGGATAACAGGTGGATGCGATTAATATCTATTAAAGTAATTAAATATTTATTTTAGATACAATTATTAATTGTTTTTTGTCAACTGTAAATTTTCCTTTTTTTTATATGTATATAAAAATAATATGTGTATATATATGTGTATATATATATATATATATATATATATATATATATATATATATATATGTATATATATATATATATATATATATATATATATATATATATATATATATATATATATATATATATATATATATATATATATATGTATATACACACACGAGGCTTATTTAAATTCTTTTAATTTAACTTAGTTTCATATTTTCATACACTTTTTTTTTTTTTTGAAATTTTAGATCATAATAGCTTTGAAACAATGATAATGAAAGTTTTTTCATCGTTCTAAATTTATAGTAAGTTAAATATGCTTTTTTGTTATAAAATATATGTTATTATGTTGTTGAATTACATTAATATTTTTATAAATTACGTTATAGCTACAGTTATGGTCGTAAAAGATTAAGAAAAATCTTATGGGTGCAATTATTCCACTGACACCTGCGAAAAATACCAAAAGAACTGACCATCGCTGTTTATTGTATTTTTTTAAATGTTTTAGTTAAACAATCTAACACTTAATTATTTGTTATTTTTATTGTTTCATAAATAAGCGTCCTTATTGCTTAGCGACTAGTTAAGTTATATTATAAGGATTATATTTTCAAGAAGATTCTGTGTTTAAGTAAAAATTATTATTTTTACTTAAACTCGTATATTTCTTGAAAAACAAGCCTACTAATATATCTATGAAATCTTTAAAACTCAAATAATTAAATAAAACCCTAATAAACATGAATTTAACTAAAAAAACTATTAACTAAAACTAGAAAGTAATACTTAACCGAGAAAAAAAAAATCTACTAATCCTGTTAAGTACCTACTCAGTTCCGAGTAAAAACCCTAGTAATACTACTAAGTTTCCTTCTAAAAACTTGCTAATCCTACTAAGTTTCCTACTAAAAACTTGCTAATCCTACTAAGTTTCCTACTAAAACTTGTTAATCCTACTAAGTTTCCTACTAAAACCTGCTAATCCTACTAAGTTCCTAGTAAGTACTCGGCGGGAACTTACTAAGTTTTAGTAGGAAACTTATTAGGAACTTAACATGATTAGCGGGGTTTTTTTTCTCGGGAAGAAGCTACTTGCTACATTATTGAGGAAATCCCAAGTGATTTTAGTAAGGGCATAGAGTTAAGTGATTCTGAAGATGAGTTTATACCATATGCTCTAAAATTACTGGAACCTGTCGAAAATGAATCAGAGATCTCCAAAGATTCAGAAAGTAGCATGGAAGACATCAGAATTGACCAAGAGGATTATAATGTTGGTGAGGTGACTTTGACCATCGGTTTTCTGCTGGACGATTGGTATTTTACAAATGGAAAGATAACAAACCTGTGACCATATTACCTAACTTTTATGGAACAGAACATGCAACTGTTTTAAGAATACAGCAAGAAAAGAATTAATTGCCCTGTTTTCGTAAAAGATTACAATACCTTTTTGGGTGGCGATGACATTGCGTATCAGTTGATTTCTTTATATGAGTTATCACGGAAATCCAAATATAGTGGCACCGGATCTTTTTTGGTTTAATTGAAAGAGCATTATGTAACTCATTTATTGCATTCAATGAGCCAAAATAAAAAGTCTTTTTTTTGAAGAATGGTAGCGCAGTCGTTGATCACTCGTGGGCGCCCTTCAAAAGTAGGGTGGCCATTGATATCCTTAACCCAACAAGTCCCATCAAAAAAAAGAGAGTCATTGACTTATTTAGTATCCTCAGCAATTAGAAAAGAAAATTTAGGCGTTTATTGGCCAAAATTTGACAGTAAGCGTAGTCGTTGCGAGGTATGTGCACTAGAAAAATGAGAAGCTTAGAAAATATAAAATGCATATAAAATGTAGTGCTTGGAAAGTATACTTATACTTGATTGATAAGAGAAATTTTTTTGCTAAGAATCGTGAATTGTGATTCATCACATAAAAAAAAAAAAAAAAAAAAAAAGTCACCTAAAATCAATGATTTATTATATAACTAGATTTAACTTCATTACGAAAAGTGAAGCCGCTTTTTGTCCATTTTACAAATGGCGGATTAAATTTGTAAACAAATATTTTTAGCTTTTCTTTTCTTAAATGAAGTAAATATATTTTAAATTTAAATACTATTTACGTAAAAGTGTTAAGCGGAAATTGTAATGCTTGTAAAATAATAATTTATGATTCCTTAATTTATTTTCGATTAAAAAAGGATTAAAGTTTTGAATAGAAAAGTAAAACGTATTACTATTTTGAAGCATTTTTATGAAATAAAAATTTTTTTAATAAACATAGGCTCATAAAAAAACTTTTAAAAGTATTTTATAACTGTTTTGAATTATCTTTAATTTATTGGGAACTTTTGACGTCATTTTTAACTTTTATTTTACACATCGGCGCTTCAGCTTTTGCCCTTTTTAGAAATGGCGGACTATTGTTATAAACAAAAAAAAAGCGGCTTCACTTTTTGTCTAATAAAATCCCGCAAGTTAGACATCTAGTTATATAATATATCATTGCCTAAAATATGAACATTTTGTATCAAGTATCAACTAAGAAAATATTTTTTTTCTAATTGTGTTATTATAATCTATTTTATTCATAATTTGTTATAGAACAATTTAATTGTATTTTAATTTTAACTTTTAAAAATACTTACCCGACGGGACCTATTAGTCCTAAATTTATTTCCATGGCAACGGCAAAACTTTTTAAAAATGTTTTAATGTTTTTTCTTTCTACAATACATATGTTGAAAAAAATGTCAATAGTGTTAACAATTTTAAAAGTTACCTTGGTAACATACCTTAGTAAATAAAGGGGTAAAAAAAATCTATTTCTAATATTCAGTTTAAATATTTTTGAAATATGACAATCTTATATTAAATGACCCTCAACCATTAACGAAAAATCACTAAGGGGTAGTGCTGTTTTTTTTTAGTTTTCCGAAAGTTTACGTCGCTGGACTTCGGCACATTTAACATTTAGATTCAAAAACTAAAAATTCCAAATGCCTTACTTTTTATAAATAATATTTATTTAAGTGTATTAAAAGTGACCGTTAATTAATACAAATGTTTTTTTAAAAGATGAATAAAACTTCTTGCCAACCTTTTTTTTTCTTCATCTTTAAAAAAAATTGATATATATATATATATATATATATATATATATATATATATATATATATATATATACAACAGTGCCGTGGCTAGTAGTTTGAAGGCCCCCAAAAACCTTTCATTAGTGAGATCAAAATCTCAAAAAAGAGCCCTCAAATTTGCAAAAAGACCCCTTTAATTCAATACCCCTTCTCACCACCCCCACCCCCCCGCTCCTCTTTATTGGAGGTGTAAAGTAGACTAACCACAGTTTATATATATATATATACATATATATATATATATATATATACATATATATATTTATATATTTATATATATATATATATATATATATATATATATATATATATATATATATAAAATATATACTTTTATTATTATATATATATATATATATATATATATATATATATATAACATTTTACATTAGTAAATACTTCAACAGGTGTAATGACGCTACTGATTGTTTTTGTTAGGTAATCCAAGTCATGAATACCAAGTATTTTAACATTTCTTTCTATGTTTTTCTTACATTTGAAAATAAGCCAAATGTTCTCATGTATTTGATATAACTTTTATACAAATTGCTAATTTAAACTGAATTTATATTATCAGCATGTTCTTTGCTCTTTTTACTTTCTCTATTTTTCTCTGCAAGCTTTAAAGTATATTGATCCAAAGGAAGTACCCCAGCTAATGCTAACAATCTTGTTACAGGTTTAGACATTGAGCAGTTTAGACTAAGCCAGTACTTAATCCGATCCATGTTAAGTGAAATCAGCTTTTCGTTTCTGGTGTTTGGCAATGGATCAAAGGTTCCTACCTGTTCATAGTATCCACGATTACGTGCTATTCTCTGTTTTGTAGCAACAATGTGAAAAAAAGGTCGATTAGGACAGCCATAATAGGCCAGTCGCAATGTTGTTACAGGGGAAAATGGCTTTTTCATTTTTTATAATAGAATCCTAAAAAAAAAATAGATAAAAAATTTCATACCATAAAAAGTTTCATTTCAAATATATATATATATATATATATATATATATATATATATATATATATATATATATATATATATATATATATATATATATATATATATATATATATATATATATATTTTGTCCCTCAAACATAAGTCTAAATTCAAAAAGGGTTTGTATTTTTGAAAATCTATTGTTATAACCCACTCTATATATAACTCTGAATCACAATACCTAAAATACAAGGCCAATACAAAAAAATTAAAAAAACAAGTTGAGTATATTACTACTAAAAGGGACGTAATGAGAATAAAATTTGGTACATCTTACTTACAAGCAATTTACTGCTACATAACTGCTGCTACAGAATAGTAAAAAAAAAACACATTTTAGAAACTTATGATTGATCAACTTAACTATTATACCACTCTATCGTAATAAATGGAAAAACAACATAAGATATTTTTGAAATAATTTTTGATAAGATTTATATGCAGCTGATTGGTACTCCTTGCAACAAAAAATTGATCGTGTATTGAAGTTCTATAAGTAAACTTAAGGTGCAGAGCACCTAATCTAGAAAATGAAGTGTCATGAAAGGACATCAGCAAAATAGGATAATGGAAAAATATGACTGAAAATAATAGGAAAATATGGAAAATAATAGGAAAATATGAGGTGGTTTTAAAAGTGTTTAAAAAAACAATGAATTTTGTATACGAATGCAAATATTAGATAAGTTACTAGATGTTAAGTTTACAATGAAGCAAAGGAACCAATTTATACTCTTAGCACAATATAACACAATATGACACTATAACTATATAGACATTTTAAAGTAAAGCAAAAACTAGAGAAAAAACTTAAAAGGTTTATCAACTATCATTATGCAATTACATAACATTACACTAGCATTAAAGCAATGAGTTTTATATTGATTGGGGATGACTTAAAAACTGGAAATTTTATACCTGGATATAGGTCAGATAAAAGAAGTTTAAAAGTCAATGTCTTTAGACTGAATAATTTCAGAAAACGATATAGCATTGTGATTTTTTTAATGAATATTGATACCATTACTGTATTTCATTAATTCACTAATAAATTTCAAACAATCTCAAAATCATTAATGATTTTGAGATTGTTTACTGTGATGTAACTATTTTAACTGTGATGTAAGTAATTTAACTATAAAACTATTTTTAAAAAATGGTTTTTATATGCTATTTTACTTAAATACGTATTTAAGTAAAATAGCATATAAAAACCATTTTTTTTAAGTAAGAGAGAACACATAATTGAATACTATTTATAAGGTTTTTTACATTGTTTTTAAAGACTATGCTTCAAATTTTTATCTTATAATATTTCTTGCTTTTTAATTTTGATGAGCTCCACTGGCCTAAATCTCGCTTGAATCTATATATACAGACTAATTTGGATTTTAAAATAGCATATCCTCATACAAGTTATAACATGGCAGTAATAAAATTATTTGTTTAAGCTGCAGCATAAGCAGTGTTTAACGTTTAACGTACTAGTTTTATACACTCACGTTCTTCTTTTAGTAATCGCAAATTTTAGGTTTTACGGGCAACTTAGATACCGTAAAATCCCATAATTCCGGATCTAACCTAGTTCCGGATGGTTTTAATAACTCGTCACAATTCGTTATGAATTTATGAATTATTTTTTTTAATTAATTAACGTCTATACCAGACAAGTCTAAGAATATAAATTTTTTTTTTTTTGAATTAATGCCATCATGAAAGATTTCAATTTGAAATGTAACATAAATTAATTAACAAAATAAAAAGAAAGAAATAACTTAAATTTGCAACGAAGTAATTAAAAAGTAAAAACACTTTTTATGCAGAATTTTATGCTGATTATTTAAATTTAAAAAAATTTAATTACCCTTTGAATTAGTTGAAAACAATTTTAAAAAAATTTGCTACCAGCTGTGGGGAATTATTAAACGTTTCCCAGTGACACTAATGAATTCACTTGTTTGTTTATAGTTGTTTGGTATTGTGGTTTAACCTCCTCCGGCTAATTGCCATATAGAGGTCACTTTACCAGAAGTCCGCAAAGACTGGTTGAGCTCCCGTAGGAGCGTCATACCCGCTCTACGGATTGAAAGTAAGGTGAGTTTGGGAAAAACGAAGATATGTTAGAGCGAAAGATAGAAGTAGTCGAGTTAAAAAGATAGCATAGAGTAAGCGGACAGGATTGCACATGATGTTAGAGAGTGCAAGTTTGTTTGTTTTAGTTGTTTAGTATTGTCGTTTATCCTCCTCCGGCTAATTGCCATATAGAGGCCACATTACCAAGGTACCGCAAAGACAGGTTCGGCTCCCCAAGGAGCTTCATAACCCGCTCTACGGACCAAGAGTAAACTGAGTTTAGGAAAAACGAAGAAATGTTAGAGTGAAAGACAGAAGTAGTCGTGTTAGAAAGACAGCATAGAGAAAGCGGACAGGATTGCACTCGATGTTAGGAGGTGCAAAAGGTTTGTTTATAGTTGTTTGGTATTGTGGTTTATCCTCCTCCGGCTAATTGCCATATAGAGGCCACATTATCAAGCGTCATAACCCGCTCTACGGACCAAGAGTAAAGTGAGTTTAGGAAGAACGAAGATATGTTAGAAGGAAAGACAGAAGTAGTCGTGTTAGAAAGAAAGCATAGAGAAAGCGGACAGGATTGCACTCGATGTTAGGAGGTGCAATAGGTTTGCTTATAGTTGTTTTATTATCATATGACTGCGAATCTATTATTTACAAATATCATCCTTTTTTATATAAAATTCAAAACCACAAAATATTATATTATTAACTTTAAAATTACGTTGGCGTAATTTTCAAAGATCTTTAAGAAGACCGCATCATTACAAATATATTAATGTTTATATTAAGATACAACCGCTAATTTTTGCTACTTATCTTGGAAGACGTAATTCACAACACACTCCCCCAATTAAAGCTGAGACTTTGGCTTTAATCAGCCATCTTGTCTTCCATGATGCAACTGATTTTTGGTTTGCATCTAATTTCGCCCGTCTCGGTACTCTTTTTAAGGTTTCCACTTTTTTACCAATTTCCACGTTCTTTTTAGATTCAATTATTCTCTCTGCCTCAAAATTGATTTCTAGGTCACAAACCAGTTGAATTGGTTGTTCAATTACATAACCGTTCCCCAATCGTATTTTTAAGCCACGCGTTACTCCATCTTTTCCTTTGATTTCGCTTTCAACTCTTACAATATTTAGAAGTGATTTTTTTTTATATCCTCTTTAATAAGCACTACGTTTCCAACAACTGGCAGTTTTACGTTACTTCTCTTATTCCTTACTTGCTATTATTCTTCCTTGCATGTACATATTCGCTCATCCATCTTTTTCTCAGATGGGTCTTACAGTTTTTCATAAACTTGGTTCTCCGTTTGCACATTCCCCTTTTGTAATTAAAGCAATACCTTCTTCAAGCAATATTGCAGGTTTTCCCCTCATTAATACGTTAGGTGTCAATACTTGATTGTCAAACTTGTCACTTTGATAACAAAGTGGCCTATTGTTCATCGAGCACTCAACATTCAAAAATAATTCCTCTAATTCATTGAAACTAAGCATCCCTTTACCAATAGTTTTGGATAAGCTTTTCTTCGTTATTCTAATCAATCTTTCAAACAAACCTCTCCACCAAGGGGCTCTTGATAGATTAAATCTCCATTTTATAGCTTGTGTAGCATTATAATTGGCAATATTCTTGTTGTTCTTAAGTGTTAGTAACCACTTCCCTGTTGCCAGAAATGTTTTCGCATTAACTTTGACTATCATCTGAGGTGGTTCATTCCTTGCAACAAACTTTTTTTAAATCCTCAAAAATTCTACTGCTGATAGATCATGACAAAGTTTAAGATAGAGACGGCTCTTGTGCTTGCGCGCAACGTAGCATTTTCTAATCAAATTTTTTGGTACTTTATACTTTAACGGTCCGGCAAAATCAACACCGCTAACCGCAAATAGTTCAACATTGTCAGTTCTAAAGCTTGCTTTTGTTGGTGATAACAAAGGCTTCACTCTGTATCTTTTACATAAACTGCAACCACGAATAACTTTTTTAACGGACACTCTAAAATTCGGTATCCAGAATCTTTCTCTTATGCTGCCCATGGTATCTCCGACTCCTCCGTGTAAGGTTTTGGTATGATGATGCTCAATAATTCGTAGAGTTAGTAAGAACACTTTTGGTATAAATATTGGGTTATACTCGGTGACTCTTTCATGACTCCTCCAATTCTTCTTTTCATCCTGTTTAAGTTTCACATTCGCTTTTAGCACAGCAGGTCCTTGCAAATGTTTAATATTGACCGTTTCGGCTTCTATCATCTCTTCCGTTTTTATTGTTCCGACTTATTTTTCTTTATTGCAACAATTGTAAATGAACCTTTTTATAAACGACGATATCCTTAAAATCTTCCAATAAGTATATTTATTCTAAAATTCTTCATAAGTGCGACTTTCCTTTATTTCTTCTATTACCATACAGACGTTCTCCTTTAGAGCAATACTTTCTCCTAATGTGCTATATAGGTTATCAAATATTCTCGATTGGTTTGGTCAATTTTCTTTTTTGACTCAATTATATTGGACCATTGAACCACAAGCTTGACAAATTTTTTGGATTCACTTCTCTTGTTCCAAGATCGCTAGGGTTTTCTTTTGTCGGGACATAAAGCCATATTATTTCTCCATTTAATAAGATTTGCTGAACTCGGTTTCTTACAAACTGTGACCAATTGCTTCTTTCCTTCAGCCAGTAAAGTACAACAGTGCTGTCAACCCAATTAAAAACTTGCTTAAGGTATGTGCAGCAACTAGCTCGAGTCTTGGAATACTTAGATTCTCTGGTGCAATCTGTGCTTTTGCTACAAGTTGCTCGTTTTGGAATTTTGGTGGCTTGTTACAACATAGATGCATGCACATACCGCTAACTTACTTGCATCTGAGAATCCGTGGAGCTCTAGTTCAATAATCTTCCGGAGACAACACACCGAGGAATCAATATAGTTCTTTTGTTGCTTATTTCCTCAATCCAAGTTTGCCATTCTTCCAAAAGTTCCTTCGGTATTTGATGATCCCATCAAATTTTTAATAAGCATAGTTGACTATACATTATTTTTCCAGTGATTAACACAGGTGCACTAAATCCCCATATGTCAAAAACACCGCTGATTGCAGATAGAATTTTTCTTTTTATTAAATATCTTTATTTTCGTTATTAAGGTGGCTCACCCCTAAACTGTGGCTTTGAAAGTACATTTTATTCATCTCCAACTATAAATCAAAGTTCAAAACCTGGTTCAAACCCATATGAAATAAATTTACGAGCTGTTATGGCATTTCGTGAAATTGGACGTGGTAATGAAGCTATGTCTACTTTTACTGCTATAATGAATATGCCTCCACCTCTTACAAATCACAGTTATAATCTTACAAACAATAAATTACATAAAGTTTATAAGGAAATTAGTTTACAGAGTATGGAAGCTGCTGTATCAGAACTAAGAGAAATTTTAAATGCAAATGCTTCTGATGATGAAATTATTGACTGTGGCATATCAATAGACGGAACATGGCAACGTCGTGGATATTCTTCCCTAAATGGTATTGTTGCTGGTCTTTCACATGAAAATAAAAAGGTGATTGATGTTTTTTCTTTATCTAAGTTTTGTATGCAGTGTGAAGTACATAAAAGAATAAACAATCCAATTGGTTTTGAATGTTGGAAAGCTACACATAATTGCCAGGTTAATCATTTTAGCTCAGCAGGGTCAATGGAAGCTGCTGGAGCTCAAGAAATATTTCATTCGTCTATACAAAAGTATAATTTAAGATATACTAAATACCTTGGAGACGGTGACTCAAGTTCATTTTCTAATGTTGTTAAAAGTAAACCATATGGTGATTGTATTATTGAAAAACTAGAGTGTATTGGCCATTATCAGAAAAGAGTAGGCTCTCTCGTTTGCGTCAAAAAATTAAAGACTTTAAAGGCAGGTTGTTAAGTGACGGCCTAAAAATATCGGGAAAAGGAAGATTAACCAATAAATTTATTAACACAATGCAGAACTTTGTTGGAATGGCTATAAGACAAAATAAAAATGATCTACTGTGTATGAGAAATTCTGTAATAGCTGTACTTTACCATTGTACAAATTTTCCTTATGAAGTTACTCGTCATCAATTTTGTTTAAAAGGGAAAAACAGCTGGTGCAAATGGCAATCAGATAAAGTTACAGGTAAAACAAGTTATAGACAAAAAATTAACTTACCTGTTACAATTATGGAGAAAATTAAACCTATTTTTCAAGAACTGTCAAACCCTGAAATGCTAAGAAAGTGTTTACATGGAATGACACAAAACTGCAATGAGTCATTTAATGGTTTTATATGGCAGAGATGCCCTAAAGCTACTTTTACTGCAAGAAAAATTCTTGAAATAGCTGTTTATTCTGCTATTTTAAATTACAATGATGGATTTACTTCTTTAAGGTATATTTTTAAAATGCTTGGGTTTACTGGAGGTATTTATTTCGAAAAAGGAGCTTTCAAAAAAGATAAAAAGCGACTATCAAGTATGTCAAGAAAATCGACTGACATGAATAAAAAACGAAGAAAACATTTAAGATCTATAAAAAAAGATTATTTAGACATTGAGAAAGAGAATGAAGATGTAAACTTTTATGCTAGTGGCAGTTTTTAGTAACTTTTCACAAAAACACTTTTCTTTTTTACATTGTTTTATTTTTAAATGTGTTTTTTAGGACTTTCTTATTTTTATACGGTTTTCTTACAAAAACATTAATATCTTCAGTTTGGTTAAAGCTTTTATCTTCAAATTTTCACAGTATGTGTATTAACTTATTTATGAGGGCTAGAACTAAAATTGTAATATTTCAAGTATAAATAAATTATTTTCAATATAGTTTGTTAGACTGACACTGGCGATTAATTAGTTTTTGCACATTTATTGCTGCCATTTTAGTTTTTTTCCACATTTGGAAAAAATTTTAGTTCCAGCCCTAAAGCAATTATTTAGCTACCATTTGGCAAAATATAGTGTAATAAGTGCAAATTTTACTCAAGATATCATTGTTTTAGATAAGGTAAGATTTTGGACAAATTATGCTGACTCAGCATCAAAAAATGTAAATTTCATTTTTATTTTGAAAAGTTAAAGTTTTAATGTAATTTCCTTATATAAAAAATTAAAAACAAGTTTAGAACCTTGGGTTTATCGGTATAAGCATCGGTATAAGCATCTTCTTCCAAGGCAACCACTGTTTTTGTATAAATATCCTTGTATTTTGTTTTTTATTAATAGCGCCGAGAATGTAAGGACTTGAACTGGAACCAAAAATTACTCTTGTAAGTCATAACTCCATTAATTTCATTTTCTTCAAGTCTTTATTCCAAATTATTTGTTGTGCGTCTCTATCCATATCTTGAATTCGAATTTGTAGAAATGCTTCAAAAATGTCAACTAAAACGCAGAGTTCGTTCATCCAATTTCGTATTAGAATGTCAAGTATTAGGGGTTGCACTGATGGTCCCACTTCTAGACAATCATTCAATGAAGGTGACTGAGCATCTTTTTTTGCTGAACAATCATAAACAACTCGCATTTTTTTTGACTCATCATTTTCCTTGATTACAGCTTGATGAGAAATGTAGTGAACAATTTCTTCCGTAGGTTTTTCTGGCACTTTTTCCAGTATTCCTCCACTGATCTGTTCCATCATTATTTCATTATACTGCTCTAGTTTGTTAAGCTTTTCCAATCGAATTGTTGTACTTTTTAATATTTAAATTGCCAGATCCCTGTTGTTCGGCAGTTTAACAACATCTTTTTTCCAAGGCATTCTATTTTCATAATAACTTTCGTTTGTTTGGTGTAGCTTTTCGCTAAAGTCTTGGTGGAACATTAATTCATTGTTTGTGTCTGACAATCCAAGTACTTCAAGACTACGCATTTGCTCAAACTTATCACGGCAAGTGTTTAACAAAAAACCCTTTATAATACCAGAACTTAATTCCATTTGTCTCCCAGAGAGAGTCCAAACATAGTTAATTGAGCTCCGAGATCTTTATCCGAATTTTTTCCGAGAACCATTGGTTCGGTAGTTTTTATTCGTTGATAATCAGCAGCACCAAGAATTATGTGAACCGGTTGTAATTTATCGTCTTCTCCATCTTTGCTAAATTTTAGTCTCCTTAGTCTAGAAAATTGCTTTTTTACCTCCTTGATCATCGGATTGGGTAAGAAGGTCAGTATTTCTTTTTCTGCGTGTATGCATTTAATCTTGCTGATAATTACTATCATAATTACCACTATTGTGTTGCATGAATGCACTGATTTGGTTTTCATAAGACCTTGACTATTCTTTTTATCGTATTTTATTTGTTCAGTGTTGAAATTGGAGTTCAATGGATTTCTTTCTATGTATTTTTTTAACTTTTCGGCGAGTTGCTCCAGTCCTCATTCTTCCCATCCATCTTTGTTTTGTGTGAGTATTTCGCGAATCGGTCCAATTTTATCCGTTAATGAACACACAAATGATTGAGCAGTTTATAATTTGTGCATCGTTTTTAATGTTCGCACTGTTCTTGCAAGTTTATTATAAAAATCTTGAACTTCTTTAATTTTGTGGGTACTGTGTATAGCCATCAGTCCTTCAAGATATTTAATCAACGCTTTGTGAATCCAAATATCTTTTCCATTAGTGTCTTGTAAAATACTCTTGCTTCTTCGTATCCTTCCAATGAAAACCAAGTATGTTCTCTCTAGGTTTTTCTTCGACGAGTTCCATTAAGTAATTGAATTTGCTAATGTTTAATATGTTAGAGTTAACAACTTCTACCGTGAATTGATTCCAAAATCATAACCAATCTTTATAATCGCTGTCAAATTTTGTAATAGTATCTTTTTGAAGCTTGACGGATTGCTGAGCAGCTTTGTTATTGTTTTCAACAGATTAACGCAGTGTTTCTTTTATTTTTAGCTTCTTTAGGTACCATTGTTCTTCGTTTTGAATTTTTCGCCATGAAGCTTGTTCCGCTTCTTTTTGGATTGTTAACTGGTGTTCCATAAATTGTTTTTCATACTCAAATCTCTTGACGCATTCGTTTTTATTTATTAAATCTAACTTGTTTACCATTTCGTTTTTAATTGCAATCGCTGCTTCAATTTCCGCTATTGGTTTCGAAAGCCATTCTTTAGTCGTATCAATGTTTTCGCCGTCATCCAGCATTTTTCTGGTCAACACATCTTTTGCCATTTCAAATCTTGCCAACAAATTTTTTATTTTGTCTAAAGCCAAGATTAT